CTCACCATGCGGTCATAAATGAGCACAGTACGAGTACGCGATTAGAAGTGGTGTTCGACGCATCTGCGAAAACAACGTGTTTATCAAAGAATATTACAACGAGAAGATTCTAGTCAGTCTATTAATATTCTCTACCTCAAGACTATTACCTATGGAATGATAACCTTTTCGTAATTGGCGGTAGTTTGTTTGGAGAAGCTGGCCGCTGAAGAGTAGGAACAATATACTGAAGCCTGTCAATCGATATGTCAAGATTTTTATATTGATAATTTTTTGGATGGAGCCCTCACGAAAAAAGAAGTATGTCAACTGCGTGACGAACTAATTACCGTCTTGGGTAAAGCTGGATTTGAATTGAGTAAGTGGGCTAGAAACGAATCTGGTATATTAACGACTAATTTAGAGCATTCTGTAAATCAAAATTATGGTAATACAGTACCAAAAAATATAGTAACCAAAATATTGGTTATGTACTTGAACAAAAATAATGACTCATATCAGTAAATGGTAAAAGAATACAACAAAGATGTTCCTATTACCAAGCGTTCTATCCTAACTGAAATAGCGTCAATTTTCGATCCGTTGGGACTAATAAATCCAGTGTTCATTAAATTCAAAATTTTAATTCAAAGGTTATGGCAATTAAAAATCGGATGGGATAAGAAGATACCCGAAAATATAAAACGAGAGAGGAAAGAAAGCCGTGAAAAATTATATGTAATAAATATATTGTTGATATCAAGGCAAATAGTAGGCGACGGCAGTATAAGCGAGATTGAGGTGCATGGGTTCGCGGATGCGTCACTTACGACGTACGGTGCCTGCTTGTACTTACGTGTAATACAAAATGATGGTCAGTGTGTTGTAAATTTAATTTGGTCTAAGTCTCACGTCACCCCTCTCAAAACTGTGTCATTGCCGCGACTCGAATTGTTAGCAGCCGTATTATTAGCACGATTAGCAAATAAGTATGGGCGCAGTTTGCGATTAAATATTATTAATTATTTTTATTGGTCCGATTCTACAGTGGTACTTTCGTGGATAGCATCGCCGTTAGCTAGGTGGAAAACGTTTGTAGTCCACAGAGTAGGAGAAATCCTTGATCTCACATCTATTGTACAATGGTATCACGTGCGTACAGCTAACAACCCGGCAGACGTGGTCTCACGTGGCATTTGCCNATGGTATCACGTGCGTACAGCTAACAACCCGGCAGACGTGGTCTCACGTGGCATTTGCCCACTTCAGTTAAAGAATTTAACAATTTGGTGGAAGGGCACCAGTTGGTTAGTTAAGAAAAGCTCTGAGTGGCCTAGGTCAACTTGACGAAGATCGTCGAATAGAAATATTGATAGAAGAGCGCGCAAGTGTTGGTGTCAGTGGCTAAACATGACTTGTCAATTTTAAATAAATATTTGTCATTAACAAAATTTCAACGCGTTTTTGAATATTGTTATCGGTTTGTGAATAATGCGTTAGCTAAAAAGCGTAAATTAAAGTGTCAGTACGGACCTGTACAGGCTGATGAAATTGAAAAGGCGACTACATGCATAATAAAGGTCATTCAAAAGTGTTACTTCGGTGAGGAAATACAAAGTATTCAAAAACTACGTACAATAATATCAAAAAGTAATTTAATACGTTTAAATCCGTTCTTGGATGAGAAGGGCGTGCTCAGAGTTGGTGGTCGTTTACGAAATCAGCTGATTTGAGCTTGTTGCAGCGTCATCCAATAATATTGCCGGCTAAGTGTGAATACACGAAATTAGTATTTACTAACGAATTTAAAACTTATGCACGGTGGACCGCAATCGATGTTGGTGTCGGTCCGTTTAAAACATTGGCCACTAAATGGACGAAGTATTGCGTGCCATGTTTTAAATATAAGTCCATTGTAGTCCAACC